ATTGCTGTCGAGCTCATCTAAGCTACCACAATTTGGGCACTATGCCTTCCAAAAGTAATTTGAACATTGTATGGCTTTCCCCGTTTTCATGCGTCTGGTTTGGGAGATTAATTAATAATATTTCTCTCTCTCTCTTTGTCTTTACTAGCTCAGAATCGGGGACACTTCTGAATCAATGTGGGGAACGGGAACCATTTAGTATAAGATCAAGTGGAATGTGTGTTTTTATTTTATGAAAGCTCGTATTAAACATGAGAATTCTTGTTCCCAAGGTCTTATTTGTTAACTTTAGATCATGAGAGATGTCCTGCCCCCTTCAAATGTAACAAAATTTGCCATTACTGATAATTTTTTTCTTTTAGCCGTCCAGTGGATCCCTTTATATTCATCAGGACTGTTTTAATCCTTCAAGAATTCGAGCACTGCTCTACTCTGTGGTCGAAAAATCTAAACTCCTGTTGGATTAAATGTGGAAAGGAATCTGTTAAATATTTTCTGTAATAAGGCAAGTTTTTTAGCATATTAATTTCTTCGCTTCATTTTGTTTTCAGCATCCTTCGTTTCAAAATTATCATTAAAACAAGTGACTACCCATGTGCTCTAAGGGCCAAAGGCCTACTGCTAGGAAAATATTTCTATGAAGTCATCTTAGCTCGCTTATGGAGTCAATTAACTCCAATTCACTGACCTACAGAAATGCAGTTTTCAACTTTTTTAAATGAACGACTGCTCTAAATCCCCAGTATGATAGCATGGTCATTTATGCAGTTCATGTTACCGTTGGTTCTATTATTCGTGGATCGAAAATGGAGTTGGCTTGGGGCGCTATTGAGAATGGTTGTCCTCATTGCTTCGCTTTCCTTTTTTAAATTTTGATTGGTTAAGCCGTATAATGAGTATGCTTTGGAATCAGATGTTATTGGGGATATTGTTTTGAGAGCCTTGCCACTGAAGATCCTAGAAGGTCTGATGGAGAGGGGATACATTATGTCGATGCCAATGTTGAATATTGTTATGTGATCTAAACAAAAGTAGGGGCTCACCGCATCTTGATGGGTGCTGGGATGGCTTGTTGTGACTCAACTGATGATGGAAGGAGATTTTATGTTGAACTAAAAACAAGTCGTGAGGTTGACAAAGTCTCAGCTTCTTTGCATCTTACTTCCATCCCATTACTTCTGGTTTCTTGTTATAGTCATGATATAGGCTCTTAACAACATGTCATCTTCAATGATGCATACAGCGACAACAACAAGCCTTATCCCACTAGGTGGGGTCAGCTATATGGATTATATGATGCTATTGTGCTATCTTCAACGATGCATACTGAGGAAAAAATGAGGGAAAAACTGCTCAAGTTTTGGGTAAAGTTTATCCTATCTTATGCTATGAATTAATATACTTTCTGCTTAAGTATTTTTATTGTATCTGTTTTAGTTGTGTCCATCTTGAGTTAGATGTTGTTCAGTTGTTGGAGAATTGAGCTTTATATTTTGGAGATTAGCTTATATTTGTTTTAAGAATTTTCTGTTTTTTTTTTTTTTTAAACGCTGTCTTCAGGATAATTCTACCATGAGATCAGGTGGTCCTTTTTAAAAATTGTGAGTTCATTGAATTTATTCTTTAGCAAGACCTCTATTCTTGATTTTTGCAGATTCAGTCATGTTCGGAAGGAGTTCCATATATTGTCATAGGATTTAGGTAATTGTGATCATCGTACCATTAGAATTTATTTGTTCTTGCACAAGCTTTCGTATGATTAATGGAGCTTATTATAGCTTGAACTGCATAGCAAGTAGCAACTTGTTCATCAGATGGGACATTCTCCATCAAGCATCTATTGCAAATGTGAAAGCTTGCTATTGACAGTTTGACTTGGTGTTTATCCTAAAAATATTTGGTTGCAATGAAGAGATGATTCTGATTGTCTTTTTCAGACGGAAAGATTAAGATGTAAGAACCAAAGAAATCACTTAACAACAACAACAAAAATTATTGGAGTTATTACTTGTCGACGCTTTTGGTTTTTACTCATATATATACATCAAAGATAAGGACCTTGTATTATATTGTAATGGCATCCCATGAATCATGTTACAATTTTTACAAAGTCTTCTATTCGCGTTTCCTACCAAAAAGAAATCAATCTGTGACCTTGAAACTCCGCTTTTATAAGTGATGAGTTGCCCATCCCTCTTCTTGAATAGGTATTAGCAATCTTGAAATCATATGCCAAGTAGAAATCCAAGATATGTTGTCCTTTATTATTTAGTTTCCCAAAACCCAAACCACCATACACCCTTGTATAATGACTTGCCTCCCTCCCGACATGTCTATTAAAATCTCCTCCAATAAAGATCTTTTCATGATGTGGTATGCTTTCAATCAACCCCTCTAAGTCTTCCCAAAATAATTTTTTAAGACTGGCTTCTATTCCAACTTGAGGTGCATAAGCGCTAATAATATGATAGTCTTAACTGCTACAAGACACATGTTGCTAATCTTGCTTTGCTTGGTGATTGCAATGATGAACCTGCTATTAGTGGAAGCTCCCACTTCTCTCTCCTGTCGGCTCCAGACTTCATAGCCAAAGGCAAAGATGTTCACATAGTCTTTTTTGTTCTGAGGCATGAAGGGTTATATATGGACAAAAATATGTTCATACGTGCTAATCAATCATCACTTAATCTTAGGATTGGTTTAAGTTGCCTCAGAAAAGGAACTAGAAAATCATAAAAGCTAGACTCTCAACAAATGTTTAACATGACTTTTTACCTGATGTTAACAAAACTTGTCGGCAGGGAGGAGTCTGCTTGGCGTTTGCAGACGAAGTTTTATGCTGGCTTTATGGAATAGTCAAGGAGAGTGAGTATTATTGAACCATTCAGTCTTTTTCAGCGAGCTGATAAAAAAGGAACATGAAGAAATCTTGCAAATTGAAACTTAAGTCCCAAATCTATTCGTTTGGTGTGTATAAGTTAGTAATTGACAAGCACATGCCTAGTTTTCAGATGAAGATTGCATATTGCAGCTTGCTCAACCTTTCACCCGTTTGGAGCTTTTACAGGCCCAGTCTTGTCTAGATGCAATTACTAGTCAGTCATCTTGAGCTGCTGTGAAGAATTAGAGACCTTTACAGCTGTTTATACAATTCAATCTGACAAGTAACAGGAATCTTCCCCTTAGCTTGAATCGGTTCATGGTTGTTTTGATACTTGATGGAAATCCTTGAACAGGAGTGAGCTGATTTTGTTAATGAAGAGGAAATTACACTGGGTTATAATCTTATACTACTTTTGGGTTGAATGATTTGTGATGGAAAATGTCTGTGAATTACTATTAACCATTTTGATTCATAGTTGGGCGGCGGGCGCCCCTCTGGGAAATTTCCTGATGTGTCTGTAATTCTTGTGACTTTTGGCCGACAGAATATAGACCTAATGATGAAAATATTAGGCAGAATGCAAAGAAATTGTGCTCCTGACATTCAATGAGTGTTCCAATGAGTGTAGCTCGATATCTACGAAGAAGTTGACGCTTGCGAGAAAATTTTTTTAAGGATTTATAATAATCTATTTATATATTCTAATTAGAACCAAAAATAAAAGTCAAGCTTAAAGACACTGTTTTAAAAACCAGATCGAACCGGACGGTCAAACAATCGATCGGTTTGGTTTCCGGTGTGGTTCATAAGAAAAAACCATTTTAAGAGTCGAGACGTTTCGAACCGGCGGTTAGAAAAGGAACCAAAATCAAGCCAAGAATCGGATCCGGTTTTCAAAAACTGAATTATTCAAAAAATAACTTTTTTATCAAATTTTTTTAAAAAAATGACTAATTTTTTTAATCATTTAATATTATGTTATATCATATGGCTTGTTAAGTTATGATAAATTTAAAATATTTGATTTTTTCAAGTTAAATAGTAATTTCATATGTATTTTTTATATTTAAATTATTATATATATATATATATAATTTTTTTAATTTAATTATTACGTCACCGGTTGGACCATGCAAACCGTGAACCGCTGACTTTTCCTGTTCAATGTTCGGTCTGGTCCTGAAAATATTGCTTAAAAGCCTTTTTTAAATAAGAGTTCGGACTTTAAAAATAATTTTTTTTAAGTAACCAAACTTGAAAGCCTGACTCTAATAAGCTTTGTCAAATAAGGCTTAGGCCTAAGTGACCCTTTAAATCCTATTATATTATTATTAATTTTTTTTGGTGGAACACACATTTAAAGTCAAAGACCTGCTAGACCTGATTCTACATGTATTATATTATTACTAATTTTAACTTATTTTAAAATTAATTTAATATAATTTAATAAATATTAGTGTATATTATAAATTTTATGATATTTTTATCTTTCTAGAATTATTATGTTTGTGTTTTTTTAAAAAAAATAAACTGTTTTTTAACCAAAATTTAAATTTTATTATTAAACTTCTAAATGTGTATTGTTTAATTTCTAAAAGATTATGATGATTTTAATTTTTTTAATTTTAAAATATTTTAATTAATTTATAGTGCTTAATTCTATTTAAATTTTTTTTAAAACAAGTCTTGTGGGCTAGGCTCTGAACCCTTCAAATAAAGAGCGGGCCTCAAAAAGGAGAAAAAAAATGAAAAATCAAGTTTAAGGGTTTAGGCCCCTATGAGGTGAGTCCAACCATTTTTTAAGTCTAATCCCTATAACTTTGTAAGCACCTAAATCTTGATCAATAAAATGCTATAATTGACAACGTATTAGAAAATTCATGTTTAGATGCTATATATGGTTCAGTAGAAAATTATGAAGAAACAAATTTAGGCCTCGTTTGGTTATTAAAAAAATAGAATGGAATGATTTAAAAAAGTAAAAATAAAAATAAAATGATCAAAAGAGATGGTGAATCACGTTAATAAAAGGAGAAGATAATTTAATTCATAGAGTTGGGAATCATGATTTATGAGATTTTTAGAGGGTATAATGATTTTTACATTTGTAATATAAATAAATTTTATCATGCTTATCATAAAAAAAAAGATAATTTAATTTATTTTTATATTAATTTTTTTAATCTATTCTATTTTATTTATTTCTAATAATCAAACTAGTAATCAAACGAGATTATAAGATTAACACATTTCTTTGGCTACAAGAACAGCTTTGTAGATGGCAATTTACGTCTTCCCCTTTGAGTTTTTTTAGCTGATCTTGCTCCGTTCGAGATCCCTGCGTCACGTATAGATGGCAACCCTCCTGGATTAGTGCATCTGTGTGTTAAAGAGATAAGTTCAAGTTAATGTTATCAAGGCGATCAAATAAATAAATATCTTAATGGTTAAACCTCAAAATCAAATTTGAACAACCCAATCTTAAAAATTAAGGGGAAGAGGGTGGATCAGCATGATGGCCTTATGGGAGGAGATAGACAATTCTTGCAATAATCTCCAGAATTTAAGATTTTTGTTTTGTTTTAAAAATTTTAAGAAGTTTTAGTATCTGTTTAGGCTTGGTTGAGCTTGGGCCCTCTTAAATGTTCATAGGCTCAACTGTATGTAGAATGGGCCAACTTTTCATGAGACGTACAAAAAAAAGGTCCGCAACAAAATGCGTATAAGATAATTCAGTTTCCAAACACGACGTCCGGAAGGATGCGATGCACCGACCTGGGCTAAAATAGCGAATTGATGTACAGGAAAGGAGGAGACGAAGACGAGGTAAGAAACGCAAAGAGAAGTGCGAGATGGAGGAGAAGACGAATCCAGGAATAAGCAGCGATGCAATGGAGAGCATTTCGGAGAGGTTATCGTCTTTGGAGAACCTTTACTTCCCTCGTGCTCTGCAATCAACTGCCACCGACCCTTCTCAGCGGAAGGCCATCTTTCTCGACCTTCTCTCTCGAGACGTCGCCCTTTTCTTAGGTAATTTCTCTTTCTTTTCGCTCTTTGTTTTTATAATCTTCTTCCCGGGCATATAGTTGCAGTTGTGAGATGCTCAATTCAAGTATTCTAGTTAGCCGAAGCCAAGTAGTTTAAACGACAGTCAGCTAAAACATTTGCATGAACCATTTTCGATTGATGGCTTAATGTGCCGGAAGTTTTACTGCTTTCTTTTTTTTTATTTAGTCTTTTCTTTTGGCTTGAATCTTGTGTAGAACGGTATGGGTCTCAACTTACAAGTAATGAACTGCACGAGTTTGATGCGCTGAAAGGCGACTATGAAATCAATTGGCATTTGAAGCGTCTTTGGAGCATAATGAGCCCAACATCGGAGGAGTTGAGGATGAGGTCAGTGACAGTGAAGAACCGAAGGCGGGCTTACTTGGATAAATTGATGTGCGATGGGAACTACTTCTCGGAAGATGCAATGAGGGAGAGAGAGCCATATCTTCATCACGAGTATGTGGGGAGATTTCAGGACCAAAGTGGCAGAGGCATGGCAAGGCCTGGAGAACGTTGGTCGGAGACTTTGATGAGGAGGTCAGAGGAAGCATTCCTTGTTGCAAAAATTAGAGGGGAACAGCAGAGGTTAGGTGTGGCTGAAAGGGACTGGATTGGTAATGAGAGTATTCAGCAGGAGGAGGAGGAGGAGGAGGATGAAGAAGTGAGAAAAGCTACTAGTGATGGACATCCTACGGCGGTAAGACACTGAACTTGCTCTCGCTTGCATTCTTTTTTGATTGATTTAATAACCAATTGGGTTTTTTATGCTTTCATTGTTTAAGGAATCTCGATAAGTATTGAAATTTCTGTCTTCTGGACATGTTAGTCAGAACTCACGACACAATCCACCTCTACTTGGTTCAATCTTGACTGCCTTGTATTTTTATGCTTTTCCACTTCCTTATGTATTATGTCATTGGTATCCACTGTGAATTTTCATCTATATTTGGCCCTGAGTGGAGCTGTATACTGTTGCAGCGGATATGGATAAATTGATAATATAAGATGGTATGTGGATATCCAAAACATTATTTCTAGTCGTTGCTTGTACTTAATGAAATGCTAATATACGATGAGTTTGACACTCCACACATGAAGGTTACTTAGTGCTGAATGTTTTGTTGTATCAAAAAGGATGCTGAATGTTTTGTTGTCTTTCTTGAGAAAAGTTGTTTGATTCCTCATCAAATGTGATTATCTTGCTTAAGCTTATGTTAATTTCCATTAATGGATAATGTGAATTGCCTATGTTGATAGTAAGTTTGATATGTGAAAATAGGATTTAATGTCTGATGGCTTTGGACCTCTATTTTGCGGGAGATTGTGGTGTTAAAGTGGATAATAAGTGTGTTTTGAATTTAATGAATATAATCTTTGCTGTCACTTGCAGACGCACTTAAATCGCCCAGATGATCCATCCGACCAAACAAGGGAGAATGAGGAATCATCTTTATCTCCAGAAGAAATACAAGATCGTTTGAATCAATTCACCTACATAATGCAGCAGAAGTTTTTGTTGGGAGAAGATCAGGAACATTTAGATTACTCCAGGATAGACAATGATGAGACCCTTGATGATCATTGGCAGAAGGAAGCTAACGTTGATGCAGAGGAGAAGTATTTCGCTGATGATTAGACTGGTAATCAGATGTGCAGACATTGCATGTATTTCATTCAACAGATCGTTACTTTTCACCGAGGACACCAACCAGATGTTGAAGTTGTTTTCCAGGACATCCCTCCTTCTGAGTAGAGATATTCTCCTTGATGAGTTCTGTTTTGAGCGGCATCAACAAGATGTCGATGCTAGCTAGCCTTTCACGTTTTTCGTGGTCTTTTTGTTTTGAAAAAATCACTAATATGGTTTATATGTGTAATTATAAAGGTAATATTATTAAGTGGAAAATGGATGTCATCAGTCTCAGTTTGATGGTGGTGGTTTATTATGTTTCCTTCCATGAGAGACACTGCAATTCTACAATACATAGCAGAACCTCTCCCTATTTTAGATATTTTCTTCCGGTAATGCCATGTAAAATTATAATCTTTTTCACATTTAAAAAAGCAAGCTTATATAGGATATTTAAAGAAAGATAGAGAGGAAAAGGATTACAAAATATACAAATAAGATGACAGATTTTATAAGCTTAAACAACCCCGCCCCCAAAAAAAAGGGCCAACACACACAAGTAAAGTGTAATGTTTGGTCTTTAATTTTTTTAAATTATTAATTTAGTTTCTAAATTTTTATTCAAGTTGACTTAATTTTTATAGTTTTTTTCCACACAGGACAGAAATTATATTTACTCAATGAATCACTGCATTTGTCTGGATATATCTGCAAGACATCAAAATTTTTTTCCCCCGAATGTGGATGAAATTGGGAAGAAGAAATGGAATAGAAATTTTGATAAAAAGTAGTTATTACGAAATAGTTATTATTAAATATAATGAATATTATATATTTCAGTTTTTTAAAAAATAAAAAATATGAAAAATACTATTTTAGGCTCTTATATTGTGCTGAAATTTTATTATAAATCCTTACACTTTTTG